ATGAACTCCCCTTTGGTCCCTACCTCCACCCCTCCTCCCCATCAAATAGTCGCTTCTCTTTCCTCCTATATCATCTAAGCTCCGTGTTATTCAAGAGTTATGAACACAGAATATTAAGTGGAGTTACAACAAAAAACTTTCTGTTTTAGTTGCACTGCCGGGAGAGAAAAACTGGCACGTTATTCCCCAAATGTTTTTCTTTCTTTTTTTTCCTTCTCGTTCCAGTCTGAGGAAAAATGTTTTCAGCTGTTTCAGAGGCAGAGATTCATACTGGGATTTTGTTTCCACATGCTCCTGTTACTGCCTTGCATACTGAGATTAAACAGAGCGGAAAGTGCAGTTAGTGTGCAAACACAGCAGATGGCAACACAGATTAAGGATCAGGCCTGTATATCTATGATTGTCTGGGATACCTCTGTTTTAAAGACAGCGCAATCCATATTTTCCCTCATCAGATTAGTAACTCTCACATCTCGAGACGTCTCAAAAATGTGCTTCTAATATGGACTCAGGGATCCTTGGTCATGACTTAGCAGTGCCCACTGGTGGGGTCAGGTTATACTCCAAGGTCATTTATACTATTTCTCACAAATTGCTAAATTTTAAAATATTTGAATAAATCTTAAAAAAAATATATTGTTTCAGTAAATCAGCTAAAAACATGAAACTAAAACTGATATATTTGACAGAGGGAGGTATTTATTCTTAGCCTTTCTTAGAGCTCACAGCTAATCATAATCTAACATTCAGATGTTCCAATAACAGACCAATTTTAAAAAGTAGTATTTTTAATAATATAATTACTTATAGTACTTGTTCACAGCCCTTTTCCCAATATTTACTATAAAATGTGGTATCAACCTAAGTCTTCTGATATGTCAAAAGAAGCCTAGGCTAATTTATTTATTGACGGCTCATCTTTCTCTTGACAATTCACCACAGGTTCTCCATAGAGTTTAGGTCAGGACAGTTTATTGGTAGTTGGATTTGACCTTTGAACTTAATAAATACAGTGAACCGACACCAACAGATATAACGGCTCGACAATATGGTGAACTAACCCTAGACCTTGAATCCCTTTCAAAAAAAAAAAAAAAAACAAGGACTTTGGATCATTTAGCAATGCAGGAATTGCTAGCAGTCTTCTCTGCCTAGACCTGATCATATTAAAGGTATAGTGGAGGATCTTTTTTTTCCGGGTGCATCATCGAAATAAGTGTTCCTCCTAATTGTCAATCAATCTGGGGATATGTTTACATAAGGCTGTCCTACATGCTCAACCTTATTTTTACTTGCCGGTGGTGAGTCTGACATTGTGGAAAAATTGCTAATCAGCTTGTGCAAACTGTCGCACGTGTTTAACTGACGTTCCCTCTCGGGAGCGTTTATTTTTCTTTTAAAGGAAAATTCCGGTTTTTAACACTTTTAGCCCATTTTCTGTAGTGTCCAGGATGAAATCGAATGATCGACACCAAAATTGTGAGGATTGGTCCTGTCTCTGCTATTTGGCTCATGCAGAATCCCCCCCTGGCTGCTTCAGAATAGCTTCCATTGTGCATGTCCGATAATGTCCTTAAAACAACCTTAAACGTTCTTTTTTTAAAATATGCTACTCACCG